CCTTGCTGGGGTCGTTTGACCCCAGTAATCTTTCCTGCCATGGCAGAGGGTCGGACTAGATGATCTACTCAGGTCCCTTCTGACCCTAGAAACTATGAAACTATAAACTATGAAAAACATTTCAGCTGCTTTTGAGAATCAAGTGAAGAGAAAATGTTGTTTGGCAGTGTTACGTTTTGGTGACTTGTTGAACACTTTCATTGTCCATGTGTTTTGGAGGAGGAGCTTGGGATCTGGCAGAGGGATGGTCTTTGTGTTGGGCATGGGGTCCCTATCAAATCTGCCTAAATTGGGCCAACATATAAATTTTTGAAAAACTGCTGTCTACATAATGCTCAGTAGACATCTCTTAGATTTGAGCAGCTGAATTTCACTGTGCTGTATATACTACTGCCCGGGTCTGAGCAGGGCTTTCCCTGCAATTGCACCTCTTGGGTGCTGCAGGCTGTATGGGGCCAGGTCTGCGAACCGGAGATGAAGCAGAGGTACCCTCTCTCTTGTGCTCTCAATATCTGTATGTCCATGGCCTCACATCTGTGTGCCTGCTTTCCTAACCTAAACTGCCTAGCTGCTGCTTGCTTTCCTTTGCAACATTAATGATGCTCTCTTAATGTCATTGTTGTTTTCTGTGTAAAATATTTGCTTTCTGGTTTTCTGTGTGACTCATACTCTACCAGTTCTTACAGCTTGCACTCAATCCTTGGCAACATTTATGTACGATCAGTACAATATTCCTAATTATACTAAAAATACTGGCATTATTCGTGTCATAAAGCACTGCCATCGTGACACTTCATTACAGTATACTTATTTAATTACTGGAATAGATACTGGATTTCATCTTGAAGGCTGCTGCACACCATTTGAACTATAAATTTCTGGTAAGTCCTAGATTTTCCTAGTATTAGTTGATCATAAATTTTAAAATGAGGGTACAGAAAGAAAATATTGTCCCCTGTCCTCTCTTTACTCCCCCTAACCATCACCCCCAGTCACTTGCTGATACTTTATTAAATTGTATTTAGGGAAGTTCATGTTTCAGTGTAGCATATACTTGAGACCACATTTTTGAGTAGGCATTATACAGTGGGGTATTATACAAATTGTCCAAATCCTTTCCCGTACTCATTAGTGCATCTGGTGGTCTAAAAGTGGCTTGTATTTCTGGAAAACTTGTCCTTCAATTATGGAAAGCTGAAATAAACTATGTCCTAATACATGTCCTCTCCATTTACAGGGGAGATACCAAACTGGCTGCAGGGGATTCTTCTTCGCAATGGTCCAGGCATGCATACAGTGGGAGAAACTCGCTATAACCACTGGTTTGATGGTTTGGCTCTCATACATAGTTTTGCATTTAAAAATGGTATGCTTCTGGATAATATCAGAAACAGTTCAACCCACATTTGATCTCCTTAAAAGATCCATAATGTCTCTTTCTAATGGTGGTTTGACATGGTTTATAATAACTGAATATTGAATAATTTCAGGCTAGGAAATGGGTCCCATAAAACATTTGCCTGGTTTTGTGTTCCTGTGAAAATCAGGCTCACAAGGCTCAGTTTGGTTAGTGAACAGCCTATGAAAGGGCAGGGTAGTGGCAGCTTTAGGCATAGCAGCCAAGAGAGAATCGATGGTTTTGCCAGTTCCAGTGCAACTTCCCTTCTTTCTGGGGTGGAAGAGTTATACACCTCAAGAACAGAATCATAGAGTCATAAAAGATGAGGGCTGGAAGAACCTCGGGAGGTCACATCTAGTCCAACCCTCTGCTCAAAGCAGGACCAGCCCCAGCTACATCATCCCAGACAAGACTTTGTCTAGCTGGGCTTTAAAAACCTCCAAGGATGGAGCTTTCACCACCTCTCTGGGTGACCTGTTCCAATGCTTCACTACCCTCCTAGTGAGAAAAATTCTTCCTAATATCTAACCTAAACTTCCCTTGCTGCAACTTGAGCCCATTGCTCCTTGTTCTGGCATCTTCCCCCACTGAGAACGGTCTAGCTCCATCCTCTTTGTAACCCTCCTTCCGGTACTTGAAGGCTGCTATTAAATCCCCCTCAATCTTCTCTTCTCCAGACTAAATAAGCCCAGTTTCCTCAATCTTTCCTCATAAGTCATGTCCCCAGCCCCCAAACTATTTTCGTTGCCCTCCACTGAACTCTCTCCAATTTGTCCACATCCTTTCTGTAGGGCTGGGGGGGGGGTGCAAAACTAGACAGATGCAGCCTCACCAGTGCCGAATAGAGGGGAATCATCAGTCTGTTGCACCAGCTACCTGTGGCTCCATTGTGCTTTTAGAAAAGTTAGAGGTTGCTGGGTATTACAAATGACCAGTTATGCCCCTTTCCTCCAGCTACAACCTTTCTCTGCAGGGACAGTATTTGGTATAGGAGGTGCTGCAAAGGCATGGGATGATTCCTGTACCCTGGAGTAGTTTTTCTAGACCAGCTATCCTGGCTTTGGGTCAGTGCTGTGGTGGTGGGTGATACATACAGGCCTTGATTCATTGGAAAGCCTAGCTTGGTAGGTACTGATCATAATATTGCTACAATTCAGTCCACCATTTGTTTCCATCAAGGATGTTGTCATCCATTAAAGGGCCAGATCTTCCAGCCCCTTCCTGAGACAGATTTTAATGGGAGTTGAGGCTTCTGAGGCTCTTCCATAGGATTAAGCCTGTGTTACTACATCTGCAACAGCGTAATAGAGAATATTTACATCATGGATGAAATCCTGGCTGCTCTGAAGGCTAAAGTAAAATTCCTCTTGACTTTGGGATCAGGATTTCACACTAGGGCAAGATTTCTGGTTGATGGGTCCCACTACAGTGATTTGGAAGAGATATAAAAGCAAAGAGCTGCATTTCTGCTTTATAGCTCCCTGGAAAAAATGGAGTAGCTTCTGTGTGTACTGTGCATCTAGGACTTATGCAGACTTCACTGGTACTCTTCAATCAACAGCTGCAGCACCCCATAATTCCCAACCAAATTAGGTAGTAATGCACTAGTAAAATGAGGTTTTTTCCAACGTGGGGAAACAGCCTGGTTTCACTGAGGTGTTAGGCTTCCTTTTGGGAACTTGAATCTAGTTATGACAGAAGGCAAGAGTGAAACTAGGCCACTGTGCTATTTAATATGCAAATCAGGTCTCGCTTATGTATACTTAGTGCATTTAAAAACAACCTTTAGATGAGCGGCCAAGTCCAGCTTGCCACACTTACATCACGTGAGCCAGACGCGGCTCTGATGGGATACTGTCAAAAGAGATTTCCTCCCTCCATGCATTTCCCTTTTATTCCACAGTTTTCCATAAAATAGGGAGATTGAACATTACTGGTGTGTCTGTCTGCTTTATCACACTGTGGGATCTTTTCCATTATGTCACGTCTATAAGAGATTTTTTTACCTGTTTATCTTTCAGTTTCCCTTGCTGTGCCAGGGCAAATTTTGTGAGAGATTCCAGACATGGGTCTCCTGCCCGCCCATTTCTATGCCTCTTAAAAACATTGCCATATAAAGAAATGGCCACACATTGAAACTACCAGGGTATTGTACTGCTTCCACAAACGGGGCTCTGTCTTTTAACCGTCTAGGTGCATATGCATAAAGTAGTTTATCCACTAATTTCTTCAGGCATAGAAGGATGCTAATTTTCACAAGCTGACACAAATGGGTCAGGAAAGATTTCTCCCCACCCACCTGCTTGTGACAGAAGACATATAGGTTATAGGCAATGCAGTCTAGCTGTGTAATTAAGCTGGGTGGACACAGCACTAATATAGCTCTACTGCTTCCCATACCTGAGCTGGCTTGTTCAGAGCTAATTCAGGTGTGTCTATACACAGTACTGCATTGTGACATACCCACATGTTGTGCCACGGCAGGTAGGGTGGGCTGCCGATCAGACATTTCCCTGTCTCTGCTACTGACTTTTTGTGTGATCATGGGAAAGTCCTTTCACCTCTGTGATAGTTTCCTTTCTCTAAAGTGAACTTAGTAATCTGCTCCTATTTTAGAGAGGTGCTGTGAGGCATCCGTGTTCATCCAGTGTAGTGTTGAGATGGCAAGGTGCAGCTTTACATCACCATATCTATCTGAACGGTGTCTATGCCAGTCATGGAGAGGGTGACTTTAGGAACAAATGGTTAGACTGGCTTAGAGATGGATTTAGTGGCCTACCAGGACTCCATCCTTTCTAGCTGGCAGGCAGCCGTCAAGAAGAATTGGTGTGTGAGAGTTCAATGAAATGTTCTTTACAATGATCAAAACAACAACATGGATTTTTTAAAGAAAAAGCCAAAGTTATTTTCTTTTCCATAAAGTTAAGTTTAATTTCTCTATTTATCATAACCAACCATAGAAACTGACCCTTAATTCTTCCCTTCCGTCTTTTATAAGCACATGCAGAAATGTGAATGCAGGTGTGTTGTTAAGGGTTGGTCTGTTGGCACTGTTTGTTTAAAATCCTCTTCCCAATGCCCCACGCAAACCTTTTTTCTTGGTTTGCAAATACTTTATTCAATATTTTCAGTCAAAATGTGGGTCTATCACCTTTGGCAGCCCATAAGTATGAACAATGTGAATACAACCCTGCGTTCCTTTGCAAGTTTTCCTGAAAATTAGGAATTGGTAGCCCAGCAAAGTGCATTGAGAACCTCTGCTTAGCCAGAAGTCAGCTGGATGAGATTCTCTTGCAACTTCTTTTATCTGAGAGTCAATCTATTTTAATACACAGATAATTATTTTCCATATAGAATTATGAAAGGTGTCAAAATACTGTATTTGTTCCTTGCAGGTGAAGTTTACTATAGGAGTAAGTACCTGCGCAGTGACACATACAACAGCAATATAGAAGCCAACAGGATTGTGGTATCAGAGTTTGGAACTATGGCTTACCCTGATCCATGCAAGAACATATTTGCCAAGTAAGCAATGTTTTTCCCAATGAATGTCTCCATCCTATTTCTAACATAGAAGTTTTTCTCTTCACTCTGCACATACATACCAACTTTGAGATTTATTTTGCAAGATTAAAATTGTCCTATCCCTCACAATGCCAGGATTTAAATTCAGGTGTTGGGGGGGGTTTTTAATGAAAGGAAAATTAACCAGTAGTCATGTCAGAGGGACAATTCATCCATCACTTCCTTACTGAAAATGCTGTAAAAGTTAATATTGGATTGCCTTTCAAAATGTGGTGTCTGATTGTATGCAGAAGTATGCATGCTTGAGACAGGACCTGTTACTATGTATGTTCTCCACTGACTTCAGTGGCAGCAGGACTGGTCCTGTAATTAAATACATGCTTCTGCATACAAAAGCAGCAACTGTGTGTGTCCATTTCAGGATCGATTAAGAGCAATTTGAAAATATTGTGCTGTGTTTCTGTCCCATCAGCCAGTAGAGGGAGTGCTAGTTAAGAGATAAACCCACTTCCTTCCACTAGCTGTGCAGCATACTGGTCATATCCTGCTTTAAAGTAACAAACAGATCCATGGTAACTTCAGTCCCATTGAAGGCAATATGTCAAATGATTTAAATACCTGCTCTTCACAGAGCCTCATGTGTTTATATTACATCTTCTCCACAGAGCATTCTGCTATTTGTCCCACATCATTCCTGAGTTCACAGACAACTGCCTGATCAATATTATGAAAACTGGAGATGAATTTTATGCTACAAGTGAAACTAACTTCATTAGAAAAATTAATCCTCAGACACTGGAGACACTAGAGAAGGTAAAACTAAAAATGTATCCGTCCAGTTTCTCTGCTAACAAATACAGTTTCAGGCTGATCTTTCCAGCTGGGCTGTCAGGTTTAAGGAGGCCAAATATGACATAATTGGAATCAGAAATGTTAAAGGGTGAGAACCAAAGAAGGATTTGGGGATCTCCAGGTTGGCACTATAACTATTAATTCCTAGGAACCTAGTCCTCAGGGTGGCTAGAGTTAGCTGGCTAGGCTCCCTGTAGGGTGCAGAGAGAGACGCAGACACTTCGGCAAGGCAACCTACAAAACCTGCTTGCTGATGGGAGCTGCCTTCATCTCCCCAAAAGAAAACCTTTAGCACAGAAGTGTACAAGAAATCCTGCCCTGGCTAAATGAATGCAGCTGAAGTTGCTGACTTAGGGTCAAGTGGTTCACTTGTAACACTACTTCCTCACGTGTTGTAGACTGAAATACCTTATGCCAGATGAGTTCTGATTTCTTAGAAGTTTTCTAAGCTATGTAGAACACTGCTTTTAATTCCCTCTTTTCCAACTCCTAAATAGGTTTGAAACCTAATCTTTCATGAAATTTCCTGGACTGATGGCCCAACTGAGTGCAGTTGTTTCAGTATGGGATGGTCAATAGCACAAGTTCCTTTAATTATTACATGAATCTTCCAGTGTGACAAGATGGCCATTAGGACCAAGACTCATATTTCAGCTTTGTTGGCCTGTGTGTCCAGAACCAGTTAAACATTAACGTGCCTATTAAATCCCAGTGATTTCAGTGTTTGAATTTAAAGTTAGGACATTAATCCTGGGCTTCCCTGCCAAGAGAGCCTACTAGAGCCAAACAGAGGAGTGGTTTCAGTGATTTTGGCTAAGATCACTCTTTTCATGTTCTCCTTCTTCATCTCTGCTACCTGCTGTTCTGTGGTTTTGTAGGTTGATTACACTAAGTATGTAGCTGTCAATCTGGCAACCGCTCATCCCCATTACGACAGTGCTGGAAATGTTCTCAACATGGGCACATCCATAGTTGGCAAAGGGAAGACAAAATATGTTGTATTTAAGATTCCTTCCTCAGTGCCAGGTAAGAAATGGCTTTTGCTAATGTTTTTCCCCCCTGCTGATGGGAAAAGGGGAAGTAATGTGCCACAGATGCCCTAGAAAAAATCACTATTTTTACGTACATATTGTTAATTTGTGCAGTTACCTCGCACTTGTCACTGTTAAGGTGACAAATGGTAAATAACTGCATAAAAATACCATTTGAAAAGAACTGATCAGACCCAAGTTCATTATTAAGCCAGACTGGCTATTCAGAGTGGAGCAGTTTCATTTCAATCACTGTATCTGGTGGATGGACTGAACTTTGCAGTCTTCACGGGTGCCAAATTCCCTGCCAAGCCTGAAGGTGGAAGCAAACAATGCCCCGATGGAAAGATGCACAGGGAACTCTCTTGCTGTATTCTGCCCTCTAAGGGGGAATATAATCACATATAGCCAATGGTGAGAACCTGACATTCACTTGGGCTTGATTAAAGTCTCATCTTTCTTTTTAAATTTGTGTTTAGAGGGAGAAAAGAAGAAATCTTGTCTGAAGCACCTGGAGGTGATGTGCTCAGTTCCTTCCCGTTCTCTCCTTCACCCAAGCTACTATCACAGCTTTGGAGTCACAGAAAACTACATTGTCTTCATAGAGCAGCCATTCAAATTGGATATTCCCAAGCTGGCAACAGCCTACTTCAGAGGTGTCAACTGGGCTTCCTGCCTTTCCTTCCATAAGGATGAGAAGGTACTTTTCTGCTAAGATATGAGCAATGGAGGAAGCCACAGCAATAATTACTCTCACTCCCTCCTCATTCTTCCCTGCAGTATAATAAGCTAAACAGCTTCCCAGTGAACAACTTTATTCTCTCCTAATTCCACCCTCCACGCAGATGTTGCCACCTCATGCAACTAGAAATGCCATAAATAAACCTTTGGTGCTGCACCTAACAGTATTTGACAAAGACCCCACACCAGCAAAGAAACTCTGGTTCTTTGAAGGGTCCAGATCACAAGGTACCATCATCATGGACCACCATGCTTTGAGAGCCTCATAGCTGCTTTTACTTTTTATTGCACATTAGGTAAAAGAACCAGGCTGTTCAGCTGCATCTGGATAGTAAACAGCCCTCAGTCGCAGTGTGGCTACATTTGTGCAGCAGCATAGGCAGGCAAAGTAGCTCAATGCAAGCTCATGAACCCTGTCACTCAGCAGTGCTAATTAGCCTACTCAAAGTGCCAGGTGGATGTAGCTTCCCTACCCAGTGATGGTAAATGTAGCAGGTAGGCAAGGCCTGGAACCAGCCAAAAGGGAGCTTCTCCAGTTCAGGAAAGCATCTGGAGGGGCAGGTCAGTGGTGGGACTGCAGCATGTAACACTGCAAAGGTTCTGGGCTTGGAAGCAGGTAGGGACAGGCTGCTGTGATGGGACTGTCTAAAGTCCCCAGGGCAGCCTAGTCAGGAGAGCGCAGGAAGTGATTGAAAGCTGTCTTCATCCCCTCCCCTAGTCTGCACGCATGCCATGTCTCCAACAGTGTCCCAGGCACTGCTCAGGGGCAACCGCTCTGGAGAACACTGCTCCTGCTTCTACCTACCAAACCAAACCGGGCAATGCAGCTGTGAAGCTGCTCTCAGGATGCCTATTTTACGCCACGAGAGGGCGCTCCTGGAGTGGCTTCACCATCGTACTTGGGGGTTTGGTGTGTTTGAGCAGGAATGGATACAGAGGCAGTTCTATATTTCTTATTATTTTGTGGCACATCCTGAGGCTTGCACATACCTTTTTTTTTAAAGCAAATGAACTATAATCTAGGTGGAAACATCTCTGCAATGTTACACCTATTTAATCAATAACCACTTCCTGCTTACTGACCCACACATTGGCCGTTTTTCAGACCTGGTTTCACTTCATAGACAAAAAGACCAAAAAAGATATCTCCACCACGTTTTACACTGATGCCATGGTCCTTTTTCACCACGTGAATGCCTACGAGGAGGACGGCCAGATCATTTTTGATGTCATTTGCTATGCAGATAGCAGCCTGTATGAAATGTTCTATTTAAAATACCTGAATGCAGAGTTTGAAGAAAACACCAAACACTTTTCCCTACCAGCCTGCAAGCGATTTGTGGTTCCTCTGCAATGGGGCAAGGTAACATGACTTGCTTTTTAATCTATTTTCTTTAAGCAATAACTTTGAATAAATGAGTAAGAGAAAAACCAGTGAAGCAGAGGTTGCCAGTCCTCCTACAAATTCCTCATGTTGTTTTTTTAATTATACACACACTTTTTTTTGCATGTGTATTGGAGGAAAATGTGTGTGTGTGATTCCATTTTCCCCACTACATTTGTACAGACAGTGAGCAGATAAGGCACAGAAGGCATATGCACATACATATATATGCACACACACTGACAAATAAGGCTAGAGCTGAAGGACTTACCTTGAAATCAAGTGCCCCAATGCTCTACTTTTAGCTGCCTGATTCTGAAGTAGGACCCAAAGCCCAAAGTTAGGCATGTAGGCTCCCTGTACAATGTATGGGGAAAGTTATACACCGTAGATGGCAATTCATAGAGTACACGGTCCAAATGGAGAGTTGCCTAGAGCTGGCCAGTAGGAATTGCTTAGCTTAAAGGTGTTATTGAAATCATCCTTCTGTCTCCAGACCTTGAGCCCCTGAGTTGGGGCTGCAGACAACATCTTCCTTTCAGGGCCCATAGTCCAGAATCCACCCCAAGGGTAATCCCTACAAGAATTCTTTGGAAGATGTGAGCCAGGCTCCCTCTTCTTTAAAGCAGGAGTGAGAAAGAAGGCAATGCTAGTGGTGTCCTCATCTTTCATATCACGATCCGCTGGTCAGAGCACTCGGCCAGGATATGAGACCCACATTCTATCCCGCGCTCACTCTGTGGGGATTTAATGTCATATCTTCCCTAATTCCCAAGCTATAGGCTAGGCTGGGCTAGGGGCACTTTTCAGTCCTCCTTTTTGAAGCTGGTTCACAGAGTCAGGAGCAACAGGGCTCCTGTACACAGCTGGGAAGGGAGAATCATGGATTCCATTTCTTGCTCCCTTGATTGCTTATGTAGTTTTGTATTGCGTGCTCATTGAATAAAAAACAGAAATAGAGGGTTGATGCATTTTCTAACAACTGCTAAGTGCCTGTCAGCTCAGACTGAAGCCCTTTTGGGAATGACCACAAGGCAGAGCTGCAGGGATACAGGGAACTTTTTTAGCCAAACAGAAAACTACCTAGGGAGGTCAGGATCACAGTTTTCAAATTTTAGACACCTGCATCCAATTTTAGGCATCTAAATCCATCCTTGCACCTGACAGTTTCTGGGGTCAGGCTCCAGGATCTCTCCTTAGGGGAAAAGGGGCTGATCAGCATAATAGCTTTTTTCTGAACACAATGTCATGTGTTCATCCCACATAAACTCATGTATCCAAGCAGAGAATTTTGCACATAAATTCTGATCCATGGGAATGGAGCCCTGGGCAAAACTTGTCCCTCACTTCCTCTCCCAAAGTATTTTTCAATAGTGATTTTATGACAATAAGATATGAATACAGCGAGAGAATTGCCAAAGAGAGGAGGAAGAGGAAGGGTCTCATCTTCCTGTATCTCTGAAATAGCTTAACTGATTCACCGCATTGCTTTTCACGAAAAGAACTCATTCTACCTAATGACCTTTCAGGCAAGCTTCAACCTGATGCAGCATACAGTGGCTGATACTGAATGTCTTGCTGCATCCTAAGAATTTGATTTTTATTGGTGCCAGTTCTATAGCAACACAAGAGGATTGCTGAGGACCAACCTGTCATGCCTTCCCTGCAATTAAATAGAATTCAGCAGCATTGTACTGAAATACTATGCTGAAAAATGTTAATGAGATACTCATGTGAACACTTGGTGGCTTGTTTAAAAATAAATATTAGTGTGCCTCAATCTTTTTTGAATGCCAGGTAGCATATTTGGTTGCATATGGTGCCTATTTAAAACAATTCCTGCTTAGCACAGCACATGGGCTGATTATGCACAAATTAAAAATGAAAATCCATTTTTATTCTAGGGTATTTTGAAGAGATACTCCCCCAACTGTCACAAAGTCAGGAGCAGTTGGGCATTTAACTCCCTTTTACCTACTCTGAGAATCCCACCCATAAATGCTAAATCATGAATAATAATTTACACCACTTCTGTAACAAAATGCCACCTGGGCACTTTTGTCAAATTTGACTCAACATGGTTTAGAATCACCGGTTTATTAGAACACCAGAAAATTAAGGGTTTTTAGATGGAAACATTTTGTATATAATATTGCAAAATAAGCATGTGTAAGAAACAAGCTCTTGAAGTTGGATCACCCATTTTATGCAAAATGCCTACTTATATATAATAAAATAATTCCTGATGAAAGTCCTAAATTAGAAATCCAATCCACCTTTTCAAATATCTTGAGTTTTTTAGCATCTCTCTCTCTCTCTCCCTCTTCCTCTCTCTTTCTCTCTCAGGATGCAGAAATAGGTTCTAATTTAGTCAGACTTCCATCAACTACTGCAACAGCCCTGAAAGAAAATGATGGTAGCATCTACTGTCAACCTGAAACGATATATGAAGGTGAGTTGTTCCTTAGAAATCCTGAAGTGTCTTTTCTTAAACTTAGGTTTGTTAGGATACAATTATCTTTATTAAGTCTTAGTATTCTTTCTAAAAAAACCCCAAACCAAGAGATTCCCTCCCCCCATCCTCAAAATTAAGTCCCTGATCCTGAAATGAGGATCTGCGTGGGTCTGGGGCTTTGACTCGGTGACCTGATTGCTTCTATATGAATAACAAATGTAAGACAATCCTGATGCCCCAAGGATCAGCTGTATTAAGAGCATATTATGAGGTCAAGATCACGGGTCAGATCTGAGATCTAGGGCTTAATTATGTAAGGTGCTGAGAGCTCTTCCTTCCAAAAAGGAAGTGGAAGCTTCCTACTTTCAGGTTCAGGCTCTGAATGTACATTTGGGAGAATTGAGTTTCCAATAACATCTGTTACAACCCAAAATTTTGAACAGTCTAGAAGGAGTTTAAGTCCTGATTCAGACTTTGCAGTGATGCAATCTAAAATAATACTCCCTGCATCAACTCTATGTGAAAATGATTTAGCAAATTATTCTATAAAAAAATAGCTTTTTATGTAATGTTTTTATGCAGATGGTTTTGTTGAAGTGCAAATGTTTTTTACTTCTCCAGCTATTTTCCTTTAAGAGGTAACAAGAATAGCATACAAGGTATATATTTATCTGTTTACTTTGTGGTGAGGGAGACCCTCCAATTATCTTTTGACAGCTAAACAAACATACTAGGTATTTATACACTTCCTTTCCTTTTTTGTGTCCTTGTGACAAGGTATTTAACGGAGTTCACAGATTCACTGGAATCAGACAGCCCATGCCATAAGCACTTTTGCTATGGCCTCAAATTTGAGATCTCTGGGCTGTCACCAATGTCCATTAGCACCTGCACCATCCCAGCCCAGTATTTGCAGACATGAGAAAAGTAACTGAACAGCAGTAATTTAAACACACTGGGGTCTATGAGGCTGTTACTAACCATGAATGAAATGTTAGTGGTTTATGAACTCACAACCAACCCTAGCTGCACTATATTTATATCCCTGTTCAGTTTTTCAGAATGTATCCATATATCTTGACATGCAAGAGCTACCTTAGACACTGGCAAGGTACATATATATTGGAGAGGACGTATGTTTTCTGTTTGAAGAGTTCTTTTATATGTCTGACCCTTATTTTAATATGCCTTAGATGCATAGTTGTATTCTTTTCTCTTTGTTACCAACACACAAGTTCCATTTTTCCTTCAGGAATAGAGCTGCCTCGCATCAATTACGACTATAATGGCAAAAAATACAGATACATCTTTGCTGCAGGAGTTCAGTGGAGTCCTGTTCCCACACAGGTATAATGTGTTTGTGTGCTTTATACCTGTGTAATATAAATGAAATTAAATAGTATGCACCTAGTGCATGGTGTTTTATTTCACTGAACCAGCCCTACACAAGCTAAATTGTGCCCTAATTGACATCCACGTAACTCTACTACAGTCTTCAGAGTCTACTATACTCTGAACTGTGGTTCTGCTTTATAATGTGACTCTTCTAAAGGCAAACTTTTTTTCCTTAAACAAGGTAAAGTTTGCTAAGTGGCAACCAGTGTGCTTTACAGCTCATATTTACAGACTACAACATTTGAAAGCAGAAATGAAAAGTTGAAAGCGTACATCACCTATAGGAGAAAAATTGATCCCGTAGGCCACATTCTCAGTTAGTGTTAATCAGTTTGGCTCTGTTCTAGAGCTAGGTCAACTTGGTACCAGCCTGAGACTCTGGACTGTTATCACCAAGTAAAAAAAATCATATTCATCACAACAAAGTCTCCATTCTGACCCCCTGATACTTTTTAGGAAGTTTTCATTTAATTTCTGCTAGAGGACCAGCTGGGGAGAGAGGAAAAACCACATTTGTATGCACATGCCCCTGATGCTAGTTTCTAAAGACACAATCCCAAGAGCATAAATGGTTTTTAAAATGGAAAAATTACATTCCCTAAGAATGAGAGATATAGGTAAACTGACTCTCAATTGTTGTTCATTCAGCAATATCTGAGCAGACAATTAAATACAGTGAACAAACAGAACAAATTATTTCAACAAATTACAAAATAAAGTTGGATTTCTTTATGATGCAATAAAATTTGTCACAGCATGTGACATTCGCTCAACCAAAACTGTACACTTGTGATGCCTAAGAGAGGTCATTCTCCTTGACATAACTGAGGTTGTTGTGTCAGAGGGTTTATTTTATTTGTTACACAAGAGATGAATCAATCGATGTTTGTGACATGTAACAACAGTGCACTGGTAGTGCAGCATATAGGCCCAAGGCAGTGTCCATAGGGTGCTGGCTCACCTTTGCTCAGATGCGAGAACTCAAGAGTAATAGGGAGTGTAATTAATTTGAATACCATTACATTTTGTGTTGAGACTCCCTTCAGATTTTTGTTAAGAAGGGGAACTATTATATGACTTTATGTGTGCTGCTGTAGACAGTATAACTCAGCTGAATGTAAAACCAGGAAAAAGACACCATCTTTTTTATGGGAGTTGGGTGGATCAGGCACATGCTCCTTCCTAAGAGCCTACATCAGGTATTTACTGTGACATATATAGTACATGGGTGGAATTCTGGTTTAATAACTACTTAAACCATCACAGTGAACTGTTACTATTTTTTATGCTTGCCCTACTTAAGGTTCTTGAGACCACACCAAAAAGGAAATAATGGCTAAACCACAGGATGAGAAGCTGGTCAGGTTGAGCTCTATCCTTACTTTATTATAGACTTCCTGTCTGACTTTGGGCAAGTCACTCCAGCCCTCCTGTGCCTCAGGCTCCTCCTCTGTAAAATGAGGGTAGTATTTATGCCATACATACAGCTTTCATGAAGCTTAATGAATATTTATGCATAGTTCTGAGGTGCCCAAATGAAAGGTGCTATTGTAAAGTAATGAAGCAGTGTCAATTCCTGCTTTGCTGTCTTCTCAGTGTAATGGTTTCCTCCTAAAGGAAAAACAAAATTCCATGTTTATGCAACTGCAAACATAACTCTGGAGCCTAAAATTTTCAGATGCTTCTGCTTCAGTATGCCACAGCAAGCATCCCATGTTGCTCCTTGACTCTCACTACTGGCTCCCAACGCTACTGGGTTATATGTAACATAACTTTGAAGTAAATGGCTACAATGAAGGGTGAAATATTGTGTTTGTCTTTACAATTTAGATAGTAAAAGTGGATGTACTGACAAAGAAATCCCTGACCTGGAGGGAGGAGCACTGCTGGCCAGCTGAACCTACCTTTGTCCCTTATCCTCATGCAAAAGAAGAGGATGATGGTAAGAATGCTGCTCCAACATATGGGGGACAGCACATCTATCAATATATGTAGCACTTCATGGTCAGGATCAAAGACAATTCAGATGTGTCCAGTTTTGGACCCGCACTACCGGAAGGATGTGGACAAGCTGAAAAGAGTCTAGCGGAGGGTTACAAAAATGACTTAGGGGCTGGGACACATGACTCCAGAGGAAAGGCTGAGGGAACTGGGCTTATTTAGTCTGCAGAAGAAAAGACTGAGGATGGCAGCCTTTAACTACTTGCAGGGTGGTTACAAAGAGATGGACTGTTCTCAGTGGTGGCAGCTGACAGAACAAGGAGCAATGGTCTTAAGTTGAAGCAAGGGACATTTAGGTTGGATATTAGGAAAAACGTTCTCACTAGGAGGGCAGTAAAGCACTGGAATGGGTTACCCAGAGAAGTGGTGGGATCTCCATCCTGGAGGTTTTTAAGACCTGGCTAGACAAAGCCTTGGCTGGGATAATGTAGTTGGGGATGGTCCTGCTTTGAGTAGGGGGTTGGACTAGATGTGACCTCCTGAGGTCCCTGCCAACCCAAATTTTCTATGATTCTGTGAAAACTCAGAATTTTAATAGTTTCATTATCTCTGACCCCAGTACAAAAAAGCAAAGAAACAATAGGCAAATTCAGCTTTTGTCTACTCTTTTAAAAGGAAACATCATCAGATAAAACCCTCTGGACTTTTCATGTAGTCCCCCGGAGCCCACACTGAGGGATTTTTAAAGCTGGTAGAGTGGTCTTGGAGCTTGATGCTCTTTATTAAATACAGACCATTGCCAATGTATGCAGTAGGATTACAGTCTCCCATGTTATCTCTAGCCAATCCTGATCTGAACTGATCACCAGTAAAGGTGAATGGGAAGTTTGGTCTCAAGAGCTCATTAAAATCAAAAGCTTTCCTGTTGAAATTTCCAGCAACGTGGCTAGGTGTGATGTGAGTTCTCCTCCAGAATACAGTTAACCGAGGCCACTATTTCGGTGTAAGTTTATTCCTTAGCACACACTATGCACACCCAGCAACAAGTACAGAACTAAGGTATTCATTAACAAGTGTGTCTTTTATCCTGTTCTCAATTCCATGCTCCCTAGGTATTATTTTATCCTGCATTGTGACATCAGATCCCAGGAAAGCACCGTTTCTGCTCATCTTGGATGCTAAAACTTTCACAGAGGTGGCTCGGGCCACAGTAGATGTAGAACTGCATCTGGACCTACATGGCATGTTTGTACCCGAGAAGGATTTGAAGACCCAGGAAGACTGAAAACACTGTCATTTCATTAGTTGGACATCCAAATGAGACAGCCCACGTACAGAACCTCGGGAAATCCCTCTTTTGTCATGTGGGAAGGACCATTATATTATGACCAAGTTCTTCCATAAAGTAACTTTTCACTACAAATAATAGAGATGGGCACAATAGAGTGGCAAATAACTACTAGAAGTCAACATATAAATAGGACAAACTCCAAATATTTCTCTTGCTCTCCCCACCTCAGAAGTTGCGTGCAGTTTTGTGGAGCGTCCTGTTTCTGTCCATATATCATACGAACTAACTCATACACAACGAATGTTTGAGCAAGCAGCAGTAGTGTACTTACAGTGCTGTACAGCAGAGGTGCTCAACCCCCATCCAATGGTCAGATCTGTCCCGCAGAGCCATGTAATGCAGCCTACAGGTCTCCCCACAAATCAGGAAATTTGGCAGTGGGGGAGTGGTGGCAATTAACACTGCCATCACTCCCCCGCTGCCAGATTTCCAAGCCCCACATGAATGGATCAGCCCTGGTCAGGCCAACCTCACATGGTGGGATCAGGCCCCGTCTCCATGTGGTTGGATCAAGCCAGGGCCTGATGTAGCCACATGGGAACAGCCCAGTCAGGGTTCAGTAGAGCTGGCCAGGAACAGGCCTTGGCTGGGCTGTTCCCATGCAGCTGCATTGAGTCTTGGTTGTGCCCACAGACTGGATCTGGTTGATGGACAGACCTGGCACTGCTCATCTGGCCTGTGGGCTGAAAAGATTGGGTACCACTGGTGTACAGTGTGACTTTTGGGTTTTGCAACACACACAGATTGCTTCAGGACTGCGTAGGATGGTCAAAAGTCTCCCCTGTCAGAAATCTTGACATTTGTCTATTTGCCATGAATCATTTGTGCCATCACTTTATTGAAGGACCCTTGTGATCAAAATGAAACATTCAACTGAGCTGCTGCAGCTTTCTAATCAAAAGCCCTGGGAATTTCACTTTATTCATCATCTTGTAACATTTAAAAGGTTGGGGGTATTTTCTCCCTTTTTGCAATGAAGACTGCAGCCAGATGAACTTACTGCAAATCTAACATGTTTTTGTATCACATTTAACTATTCTAATGGTTTTCAGTTTTAACTTTACCAGCCTTTGATCTGCATTTTCCCTTTAATTGCATTGTCTCAAAGATTGTTGTTGGGCTCTTTACATATAGTGTCAGTGTGCATGCTGGTGGGAATAGGTATGATACGAGCAGAGATCAGATGCTGAAGTTTAACAAGTTACATGTTTTAGAGTATCAAACCTAACTTAGGCCCTATCTGAACTAAAGAAAACCTATATTTTCTGTCACTGTTGTATTTAGGTGTTTGTACTGTGATCTGCTTAGGAACATGCAGAGTCTGGTTTGTGGTTCCTGTTTTGGAAGGGATAGACATTTGCTAATGTCCCTTAAAATTCAGCATCATTCATACTTGCAACTTTAAAGAAGATTTAGAATACTGGTGCCCCAGAGCATGGGCATGTGTGGTTAGTTTGTTATGTGAATGGGCCCCAGAAATTTTTCTAAACTTGAGAATTATTTTCTTTAAGAAGTGTGACTGTAAGATGGATAGTAAGATGGCTGGATCATCGGGCTCAATGCGTCGAGGTCTAGTTGGTGCTCACACTGGATATATGACCCAGATACCCTGTTCCAGGCAAACCCAAACCCCCAGACCAACCATGACCTTTCCATTCAATAATAGGCACATTTTATTGATACACAATGTTAACAAAAAAGAATAATACAAGCAATTCTATATATCTACCAATCCTAGGGCTGTCACCCAAGTCAAGGAACATCTAGCCAGGATGCGAGCTTCACTCTGAGGTTCTCTCTTGAATGTCAGATGTGAGCATCCTGGAGGTTGGAGGCTGAGGTTTACCCCCTCCCCACAGTGGGGTGAATGAGACAGGCTGATGGTATGCCCTCTGTCCATGGTGCCTTGAGTTCCCCTCTCGGGGAACCTTTTTTGGGGACCCCTCTAGGGAACCCTTTGCTGTTCTAAGTCCCTTCTTTTGTATTCTTTCGCCCTCCTGATGACTATTCATCCATGATTATTGCTGCTTGGTCTTTCTGCGGTTGTCATATTGTCCACATTCTGTCCTGTCAGTGTATTCCTTTGTTTCACAAGCCCATCACATGCACGCATCCTAATTTGGGCTTTCCAGATCTCCTAATTTGGTCTGTTCCCCCAAAACTGGACCCTCAGGCCCCCACTCTCTTGGGCCTTGTGAGCTGATATCACCATATCTCATGTTATGGAACAATATGCCCAAAATGTCCCAGGCTATGTGTATCTCCGCTGGCCTTGTGTTAGAAACTGTCTGTCTTAAAGGCTCTAAGAACTGTGCAGCCGTGTGACCTGGCCTTCAGAAATCAATTAAACCTTGCTGCCACCCTGGACTACTGTTCTAATACAAATATATATATTTACCTACAAATCAAGTCCCAAAACAAACCTCCAAATACCATTTTCTAGCTACCAGTTGGCAGCTAGTATCAAGAGGAGTGCCCCGGAGGTCAGTCCTTGGGCTGGTTTTGTTCAACATCTTCATTAACAACCTGGAAGATAGCATAGAGTGCACCCTCAGGAAGTTCACGGATGACACCACACTGGGGGGAGTAGTAAATACTTGAGGGCAGTGATTATTCCCTTCTATTCAGCACTGATGAGGCCACATCTAGAGTACTGTGTCCGGTTTGGGGCCCCCCACTACAGAAAGGATGTGGGCAAGTTGGAGAGAGTCCAGCAGAGGGCAATGAAAATGGTGAAGGGGTTGGGGCACATGACTTCTGAGGAGAGGCTGAGGGTATTGGGCATATTTAGTGTGCAGAAGAGAAGACTGAGAGCAGATTTGATATCAGCCTTTAACTACCTGAAGGGTGGTTTAACGGAGGCTGGAGCTGGACTCTTCTCAGTGGTGGCAGATGACAGAACAAGGAAAAATGGTCTCAAGTTGCAGCAAGGGAAATTTAGGTTAGATATTAGGAAAAATGTTCTCACTAGGAGGGTGGTCAAGCACTGGAATGGGTTACCTAGGGAGGTGGTGGAGTTTCCATCCTTGGAGGTTTTTAAGGCACAGCTTGACAAAGCCCCAGCTGGAATGATCTAGATGGGGCTGGTCCTGCTTTGAGCGGGGGGTTGGACTAAATGTGACCTCTGGAGGTCCCTTCCCACCCTCATGTTCTGATTCTGTGATCTCAACACTGGCCTTTGTTGTTTTTAAAACTATGTGCACCACTGCCCAGTGGCTGAGAAAATGTTACCAATGAAGCAGTAAGTTAAATACCATCTTTGTAAGTGACACAGTAGAAATGATATAGAATACTATAGTTAGTGATTACTTCCATTGTTGGAAGAGTTCCCTTAAAAAAACAGACAATTTTTCTTTATCTGCAAAGGCATATATGTATGTCTACAGTTTATCTATCTATCTATAGATATATATACATATCTATATATATCTTTTATTTAGATATATATATAGCTATATAGAGAGATATATATAGATATAAACTGTGATCTTTTAAGTTTGCTGTCTTTCATGTCAGCTGGATATAAATCAGCTACGTACATAACCACCACTACAGGTTTCCTTTTAGGAATTCTTTATCCATAAGACTCTACCTGTAGTGAAAACTCATCTGTTGAGTCATTGACTATGGACACGTGAACCAATACATAGCATGTGGGATTATTAATCCAGCCAGCTTCTTAGGAACTAACTCATATTGTTAGGAGGAAAACCTGGCATAGGAGCATCTTTCCCAGGAGTGAATCAAGATTTGTTTATTAATTTCTAAGGAAGCAAAATGTGCGATGTATGTTGGGGTGGAAATGTAATGCCAATTCATTCTATGACTTTTTTCAGTCCTTAATCTGATGGCCTGCTCTATGCCTACTTAAAATGCACAATGGATTAATATGATTTATATAGTCGTCTTAAAATGAGGAGTATGATAACAAAAACCTGTAAGTTCAGTTAAGAGCCACTAACCAACTGAAGGTGTAATCCAAGTACTACTGACTTGGAAGAAAAATGGACTGGACCATAACTCTTTAAATTCTCTGCCTGGCTAACAGATTTAATCCTGTGGAATGAAGACTGAAATCTTTCAAGGAGGTGCTCTAGCAATCTTCAAGATTCATCTTATAAGATGTTATTAGAGTATATGTAGCACCCTAATGTGTGGGCTGACAGTATCAAGGGGGTGTAGGTTGTTTTCTGAAATAAGGTAGGGCTCAGTGCTTCCTTTGCTGTAGCAATTTGGCATAAATCCATGACTGTGAAAGGGGTATGTGGTAATCATTTGACATCACAATGACTTGCTTCCTTGACATTCTTCATGATGAAGAAGACTGGGATGAGAGAGGCTGATACCCCTTTGGACTGGCAAGAAACAGGAATAGCTCTGAGAAACCAGTAAAGTTATACCAGTGTACGTGAAAAGAGAATCTGGTCTAATGACTGCAAATTGAGGCAATGCTAATAAACTAGTTCAAATAACCTTAGAAGACAAAAAAAAATCACTGTGCAACAGAACAGGTCACTAGGAATATTTACATCCTGTAATTGCTCCCAAGATGTTAAAGTGACCCTTGTAACATCCTGGTACCAGCATTTATGTGACTTATCAATTAAAGGAAAGGTTTATGAAATTGAGCAAATGAAGCACAATAATTACTTTGCTCTACCGGAAGTGGATATTAGTTGTTACACCTGCTCTTATTGCACTACATACAGTGTGGGAGGGAGCCAGCTCGTTGTTTACTAGTTTGAATTAAAATCAGAACTACAATTATGTTTTCATACATCATAATAGCACACATAGGTGCCAGTGAAAACAAAACAAGCTCTTCCTTTTTAGATAAATCAGGCCACTCAATGACAGCTTTCAAATTAATTTATTAAGAGCACTACTTCCTTGGTTATGCAATTCCCAAAGTATTAGAAATAGCAGGTGAAACACATGACCCTTAGCCAATACTGTGCTGTACTAACTTCTTTCAACCTTTATCATGCTCAAGGGGGCTTGAGAACTATCCCCAGTGACTCAACTGATCCCAATGAACAGAGGACACTCAGGACCTTGTACAATTATAGCCAAATCAGAAGCATTTTCCTTTCAGTCTTTTAGACTATATATTTGTGTATGGTTTGTATTGCACTTATCATGTTCTATGAAGTATTTCCCTGCTGGTGTTCTGTGAAAATGTAGTCTCTTTTATTCTTATGCCTTTATGATTGTTATGTTATACTAGTCCAGTGCTTTTTAACCTGTGGTCCGTGGACCCCTGCAGATCTGCAGCCTATGTCTAAGGGGTCTGTGAAAGATGACTATGATCAATCAAAAATATGCGAATACCCACACTTACAACTCAAAGGAATCTCCATTTGAAATTTCCAAAGGGGTCTGCACCTCCATTCAGAATTTTTTAGGGGTCCACAAATGAAAAAAGGTTGAAAACCACTGGGCTAGGCATTAAAATTATTTTCCACATCTGCATGACTTAGACTGTAGTGATATTGTTCCTGTTTGGTGAACCCCCTATTCAGTAAAGCGCTTGTATAAATGTGAACTTCAGTGTTGACTACAATGGGGTTGCCCAGATGCTTAACAGCTAAGCACTTGCTTCGGTGATTTTCTGTATCAGGGCTTTTGTCCCAGTGATCTCCATATAAAAACAAATTGTTGCAGCCTAGCACTATTTTATGGATCTGAAAGGACAATGTTGTCCTTGCAAAACCACTATTTATTTCACCTTCCTTTGTTATAATTTTAAACTATTTCACACCAATTCTTCCAGTAACAGAACTACTGAAGCTGTCCCCAAACTGGTTAGGCCTTACACATATTATAACATACATATTATAACATACTATATTAATACAAAATGTTAATATGAATACAACTTTCTTTTACAAATTGTGTCCAACATCACAGACTAAGAAAAGCTGAGAATAAAACGAACCCATGCTAATACATGAGGGGATCAAGCACGATGCAAGTAGGATAAAGCAGCATCACAATTTTTAAAGTGTTTATTTTCAGTGCCTAATCACAGTGCTACTCTCACTCAAATAATGAAAGCTATTAAACAAAAGTTAAAACAGCTAGGAGAAGGAGAGTTCCTTGTGGGAAATTAAGGCATACTAATACAAGGCCTAAACATCTTGAGTACAATCCTTTTAAATAGAATCTTTATGCCTGGAAAGGACTGGCTCTGGTTCCTTTCTGGAAATATTAGCTGGCAGATACTGTCACAAAAAGTAGCGCTGTCCAAATGAATCTCACTTTATTTCTCATTTTCTTTTCTTTTTTTCCTACAAGGATTAGCTAGTCCTGGGCACAGAGACAGAACCGTCTAACTGAGGTCAGCATCAAGGCACCTTGGCAGGAAAACACAGGGAAGTTTGCACTATGTTGTACCTTTTCTATAGTTGAGTAAAAGGCCTCATTCCCACCCCACCTCTACTGGGCCTGGCCGACCCGACTGCCACCTTCCAAAAGCTGATTCACGTTTAAGGAATACAGGTTACAATGCTCATTTGTTTTACAAACTATAAAACCACGTAGCTGGAGTGGGATGCCTCATCACAGGGCTTTTACGGAAGAGCAGAAAGTGGCCCCAAGAGCACCGTGGGAGCTCTGCACTCGCTGAGCGCCGTCACCTCGCTTGGTGCAACGCTGCCAAATGGAGCCAAACGGGTCTGAGGCCTCATGTGAACACACGGGCAGACT